AAGGATAAAGGGAACATAGTGTGGAGGGGTTTGCTGAATGACAGAAAACAAGTTGAAGAGTTCAAACTCATTTTAGTGAGCAAAGGAGAAGACTTAAATGTTTTTGAGCAGAGAACTGGCATAACCTGAGTGGCACTTTGGAAAGAACAGTTTAGCACCAGTGTTCGAAAGAGACCAAAGGGTAGAAAGGAAACAGGGAATTCCAAAACTATTGCAATTCAAGTAAGAGCCAATTGAGGTCTTCAGGACCCACTCATTATCAAAAACAAAACGAACCAGGATAGACTGTACTTTCTTACCTCAACAATAAATATTTACTAAAACTGTACAGCATACCTTGTTTTAAGATTAAGAACAAGGCAAGGATTCTGAGTATCACTGACTTTATTTTAGACTGCCCTGCAGGTCCAATCCAATGCAGCGAGACAAGAAAAAAGAAATTAAAAGTCTATGTCTGGAAAGAAGGAAACAAAACTGTCATTATTTGAAGAAGATAAAATTATCTTCATGATGTATCTTTCAAAAGCTACCAAAAAATTTTTAGAAAACAGTTTAGCAGTGTGGCTGAATGAGCAGCTGGAATTAGAAATCCAAGAAGCAGACATAAATCTCTCCACTTTTAAGGGAGAGAACACAGATTAAATAAAGGTTTTTATGAGAAAAGCATGTAGATTAATAGTACATCTAAACATTCAGAAGTGTAGCCTAAGAGGTTTCCAAGCATATGCATCCAACCCTGAGAGGAATGGCACTGTGTTCTACCAAAGGTCTTAAACAGCCTTTGAGATGGACATCACAGCATAACCGAGAAGCCAATTCTGCCTTCGCACGTAATTTGAGATCAATGCAAGGGCAAGCAACAGAGGCGGAAAAATATTCTTCCACTGTTAAGTCTTGCCCAGGTTTAAAGCTGTCTTCTCCTATAGTAGTTCCCAAACTTCTGTCTCAGTCTAATAGGTTGCTAATGGAAACAACAAAGCTAGGTACACTTATTCCATTTACTGCAGGATTGCTGATTCAAAGAGGAAGGCTCCAAGATGCAGAGAATGAGAGCAACATTTATCACACTTGATTGACATCAAATCCTTTCAACAGGTAACATCTCAAAGAACTAGCTCCTCAGAGAAACTCTAGTTTAGAAAATGCTCTGCGCTCAACATTCTCAATTCCTGGTATGAACCAAAATTTAGGTGCAACGTAACAAATGGCTAAAAGGAAGGATGCTGGAGCCCACTGTGTTGGTTTGAATCCCAGATCCACAACTTACTCTTCAGCAACTTACTTAACCTCTCTATGCCCAAGTTTCCTCATTAGCAGAATGGCAAGAAGGGATATGACAAGAGCAGTTACTTCATAGGGTTATATTAAAGATTAAAATGAATGATGCAATGGCTGATGCCTATAATCCCAGCACTTTTAGAGGCCAAGAAGGATGGATCACCTGAGGTCAGCAGTTTGTGACCAGCCTGACCAACATAGTGAAACCCTGTCTCTACTAAAAATACAAAATTACCCAGACATGGTGGTGCATGCCTGTAATGCCAGCTACTTGGGAGGCTGAGGGTGGAGAATCACTTGAACCCGGGAGGTGGAGGTTTCAGTGAGCAGAGATCACACACCCATTGCACTCCAGTCTGGGCAACGAGAGTGAGACTCTGTCTCAAAATAATAATAAATAAATAAATAATAAAAATAAAATGAATGATTTCATATATGTAAACCTCTTATTTAAATGTTGTCACTACACTGTTAGAATTACAATATTTTGCAAGTGAGGAAGAATATGACTTTGTTGGTGTAAAAGGAAAATTGCTCTTCATGAAATAGGTCCATAAAGGTCTATGAGAAGAGCAGTAATACATATACTGTCTGCAGTTCTGCTAATCCAGACATTCAGTTAATTGATATTTATACTGAACACATTAATCCCTAGATTTGCATTTGGTTTGAGGTGGGGTGACTAGAAAAAAAATAAAAAGCAATCCTTAGCCTTAAAAAGGTTAGAGAATTTTCTCTAAATATGGTCCTCCTAAGTATCCAGGTTGAAAAGCACCTTTTCTCCAACCTTCCGTATTCACTTTCCTGAATAAAATACACCTTCTGGAAGGACATTTAGTGCTAAAGAAATTCTGCCAGTATTCTAAGTGACTTTTAGGGTTATTTTATACCACCTCTTCCTTCAAAACAATAAGCGAGTTCAACAGACATGAAACTACTGCTGTCCATGGAGGAGCCTTTGAAATGTGAAATATGCCAAATGGGACAGTGCTTACCCAGAATGCAAAATTCTTCCAGAAAACATCTATCACAACAGAACAATGCCTCAAATTATTATACTTTACTTTTAAAATATAGCTTAATTTATGCATACTTCATTGTATGTCAATTCCTTGAAATCTGGTGATCTATAATACATATGATAACCAGTAGCCAGAACAATGTCATCCTTCAATGATTAATTAATTAAATAAGATATTAACATAGTTGTCTTTTTGGATGCTAAGTCAAGAACCCGTAACAGTTGAAACTCATTCGGGCTACCAGCCATAAAACTGTGAAAAGCAAACTTCAACAGTACCCATCCTCATGGGAGCCTCAAAAGCGTTATTTGAGGTCAAAAGACACAACATTTAAGAAGAAATGTTACATGGGAGTATTTCTGATTCAGCTATAGGATAGAGCAGAATACCAAGTCAACTAAATCAAGTTTCAATTCCTCTAGCCCTCTTTCAAGCCCCTCCACATCCAATCCCCTCCTTTCCACCCACCTTACTGGCTCCTCTATATTCAGGTCTCTCAAAAATAGCTCACACGCTTCCTTGTCCTTTAACACACAGTGATCATGGCTCTTTTTTTTTTAGAGTCAGGCTCTTGCTCTGTTGTCCAGGCTGAAGTGCAGTAGAGCAATCATAGCTAACTGCAGCCTCCAACTCCTAGGCTCAAGCGATCCTCCTGCTTCAGCCTCCCAAGTAGCTGGGACTACAGGTATGCATGACCATACCTGCCTAATTTTTAAAAACTATTTTGTAGAGGCAGGGCCTTGCTATGTTTCCCAGGCTGGCACAGTAATCATCTTGAATACCTTCTCTCCCCTGTAGAAACTCTTATTCCATCTTTCCTTTTCTCTTTACACCTTGCGTGTTCTTTAAGTTTTATACAAAAAAGTGTCTTTATTTAAATATTTTTAAAACTATTATTTTAGCTTATAAGTAGTATAACAGCATTATAGGTAAAATTTTCACAAACCAGTTAATTTCTTTTTTTTGAGACAGAGTTTCGCTCTTGTTACCCAGGCTGGAGTGCAATGGCGAGATCTCGGCTCACTGCAACCTCCACCTCCGGGTTCAGGCAATTCTCCTGCCTCAGCCTCCTGAGTAGCTGGGATTACGCACCACCGTGCCCAGCTAATTTTTTTTTTTGTATTTTTAGTAGAGACGGGGTTTCACCATGTTGACCAGGATGGTCTCGATCTCTTGACCTCGTGATCCACCCACCTCGGCCTCCCAAAGAGCTGGGATTACAGGCTTGAGCCACCGCGCCCGGCCAGTTTCTTAAGTAAATGATACTCAGCATGATAGTTACAGCACCAAAAAGGACTTCTGTGAGTGACTAAACCTATGCATTAAAGAGCAGCATTTTATACTCAAAGTAAATTTTGTAGAAAAGGAAACGTCATGTCTTCTATAGTAAGATAAGAGAACAAATATACTAGAAAGGTGGCCCACAGCATTCATTTCTTCTCTTTTTCTATCCCAATTTCCTCCTCATATTTATTGCCTTTCCTTTTGTTTACCTTACTCAGGTTCTCCTTTCCCAGCCCCAGGCTTGCCAGTGATGCTCACAGGATGATGTGTCTGGTGGCTGAGCTCTTCCAGAACTAAAGACGTGCGGATCCCTGAGTACACATAACCATCAAAGCATGAAGTAATGTCTTATGAGTGGTGTCACCACACCTCCCAGAAGAAGGACGAACTCCTACCAGAAGCAGTCAAACATAGTGCCAGATCATCTAGTGAAATGGATCCCCATGGGTGCTGCTATTAGGATACCAAAGGTCTGAAGCTCATCTAATGCAATAGCAGAAAGAATTACATCTGTGAGAACGTGAGAAGAGCCCTGAGTTAGTCCCAAATGTAAATCACCATCTCCAACCAACTCCTCTGCCAGTTGAGGGATGTTGAGGAGTGGGGTACATTAACCCCTCCAAGTCCTTCCTCCCTCTACGTAGCTCAAGAGACTCCCTGCCCACCAGCCTGACCCCTGGAGTGCTGACTGGCAACAATATTCCAAGTTAAAATAGTTTGCTAAATAGTTATACAATCAGTTTACAATTCATATATATCAGAGGAAAAACAGGATTAAAAAAAAAAATATCTAAGATACATGAATCCCAGACCATCGCTCTCCAAATCTTTTCAAAAATGAATTAACCACCAGATGGGACACTCATACATCCCTGGTGGTCATGGGAATTAGTAGAACCTGTAAGGAGAGAAATAGGATAATATTTCATAGAATCAAATTAAAATGTTCACAGCATTGGGCCTAGGAAATCTGCTTCTAGAGAATTTATCCTCCAGAAATAATTCAACAAAAGAACACAGCTCTGTGCATGCAGATGTTCATTAACCCATCACCTAGAGAAAGAGAAAATGGAGATTCCAATGCATTATGATGAGATGGGTTAGCAACCTGTGATCTATCAGCCCACAGGACATTTAAGCAGTCACTGAAAAGTAGAAACATGAAGATATTATACAACATGGAAACTGTTTATGGAGTAATATATTTGGGTAAAAAGGCAGAACTGTATATCTACGGTTGGATTTTTTTTTTTTTTTTTTAATATTAAGCACCAACCAAGAGAAGAAAGGAGGATAGAAAAAAATAAAATGAAAGCTGTCGGGTGGGGAGATTAGGGCTGCGTTTGTTGCTTGCTTTATGTTACCATCATAGCGTTTTTGCCATTTACAAAGGAGGAAAAATCAATTCTGTGCCAACCCAGACAACAGAAACCTGAGTGGGGGTTGGGAAGAGAGATTTTTCAGCACAGCATCAGACTTCCTCTCCGAAGAGCTGTGTGGCCTTCACCCGCAAGGCGACCTCTTCCACAGGCAGAGGCTAGGACAAAAAGAGGTACCTGTGGGCAACAAAGGCGGTTTCCCTCACCGCGCCAAACGGAGTGGCCACCTCCCACCACCAGACCTCCTAATGGGCGCTTTTGTCCCACAGGGCGGAGGGACCTCATTAGAAGGCGCTGGTGCTAACGGGAAATGCATTTCCAGAACAGGAGGTTTCATCATTCCTAGCGCTAGCGACAGAATGGTGACAGAAGGTAAGTGGCAGATTTGCATCACCGCGTCGCTCCTCGCCTGGAAATTGGAAACAGGCCGCCCGCGGAGGCGACCCCCGAGGAGCCACGGGCCCGCAGTGCCTTCCCAGGACCCGCGGCTGGGGGCCCCTTCCGGGGGAGCCAGGCACCAGGGCGGTAGGCAGCGTGCCACCTCTCAGAAACCAGGCGCCCCGTCGCCTCTGGGCATTCTCAATGTCAACCATTACAAACGCATCTCAAACCCGCTGCCGCAAACAGCTTGCACGAACTTAAATTGCTACAGTGCTCCGCGGGCACCCGCGGGGGGAGGGGTAGTGATGGGGGCGGGGAGGGGGCAGCCTCCCGCACACATTCTTTTTTTTTCTTTTTTTCTTTTTTTTTTTTGAGACGGAGTTTCGCTCTTGTTGCCCAGGCTGGAGTGCAATGGCGAGATCTCAGCTCACCGCAACCTCCGCCTCCTGGGTTCAGGCAATTCTCCTGCCTCAGCCTCCTGAGTAGCTGGGATTACAGGCACGCGTCACCATGCCCAGCTAATTTTTTTTGTATTTTTAGTAGAGACGGGGTTTCACCATGTTGACCAGGATGGTCTCGATCTGTTGACCTCGTGATCCACCCGCCTCGCAGCACACATTCTTTCTCGCATCTTTCCTCAACAACATTCAAAACGCAAACATAAAGAGCTGTAGAGAACTGCAGAGTAACCGAAGCAGGTTACTAGCGCCGGTAGGGCGGGAAGGGGACGTGGGGTGAAAAACTGCCTACTGGGTACTATGCTCCTGTTTGGGTGCAAGATACCCAAGTAACAAACCTGTATGTGTACCCCCTGCATAGAAAACGGAAGTTGAATTTTTTTAAAAAAAAAAGAAGCAAATTTTAAATTTTCTAAAAAGACTCCTACCCCAGCTTCAAAGTAAGAAATCAAAGTGTCCCTCAGTCTGAGGTTCCCCTGAACAGAATGGCATGAGTTTCTCTATTTTAGCTCTCCCCATGTCTTCTTTCCCCTTGTCTCTGGGCACTGATACCAAGCCATTTTTTCCTTTCTTTTTCTTTTTCTTTTTCTTTTTTTTTTTCTTTTTCTTTTTTTTTTTTTTGAGACAGAGTCTTGCTCTGTCACCAGGCTGGAGTGCAGTGGCGGGATCTTGGCTCACTGTGACCTCCACCTTCCGGGTTCAATTGATTCTCCTGACTCAGCCTCCCGAGTAGCTGGGACTACAGGCCAAGTGATTTTTTTGTTTGTTTGTTTGTTTGAGGCGGAGTTTCGCTCTTGTTACCCAGGCTGGAGTGCAATGGCGCGATCTCGGCTCACCGCAACCTCCGCCTCCTGGGTTCAGGCAATTCTCCTGCCTCAGCCTCCTGAGTAGCTGGGATTACAGGCACACGCCACCATGCCCAGCTAATTTTTTGTATTTTTAGTAGAGACGGGGTTTCACCATGTTGACCAGGTTGGTTCCGATCTCTCGACCTCGTGATCCACCCGCCTCGGCCTCCCCCAAGTGATTTTTTTAACTTGCTTTCCACACATTGGACTTAGGTTATTGATGGCAGGGGATCTTGTCTTACTTATCATAGTAAATCCATGATGCTTAGCACTGAGCTCAGCACATACTACTAGATCCTCCATGTATCAAAGTGAAACTGAAATCAATAAAGGCAAAAAAAAAAAATCAGAATGTCACCTCCAAATGTTAGAGCCATGCTGTCCAAGAGAAATACATGCCAGGCACAAATGTGAGCCACACACGCGACTTTAAACTTTCTAGTAGCCACATTAAAAGAAGTAAAAAGAAGTGAAATTCATTTTATTAAGTTATTTAATCTAACACATCCAAAATATTGTCATTTCAACATGTAATTAATATTTAAAAATATTAGTACAAATATTTTACTTTTTGTGTACTAAGTCTTTGAAATTTGATGAATATTTTATACCTACTGCTCATCCCAATTTGACTACCTACATTACAGGTGCCCAGTAGTCACGCACAGCTACCATTTGGACAGCAAAATATTACTAAAGAAGCAGCTATCAAACGGGTGTGTATTTTCCCCCTTTCAAACTCTTTTGGATAAATGTCTAGAACAGAAAATATTGTTTCAAACAGATCCTCAAGCCAATCTTTACCAAGAGCCATATTTATTAAGAAAATTTTAACAAACACATGAGCAAGCAAGGCTGTTATTCTAGGATATATCCTAGGGTAGTCTGGGTGTTATTTCTCCCGCTTGTTTGAACAGATAATTAGCAGGTTGTGTTTTTTAGTGAAGTAATTAATTATCCTGGAAGAGCTAAACACTTCCTTCCCTTCTAAAGTCGACTTTACAACAAGTATCATACAAACAAATAATGAGTAGTTAGAAGATTTGATGCTATCATGATAACATTAGTATCAGGGACCCAGGAGTGCCAGAAGCCTCCCCTAAAAGCCCCCCACTTTTTCCCGCTGGGTGGGCAAGTCTGATCTACACAAGAATAGTGACACTCCAGGTATCCAGGCACCCACACCCATCATCTCAATACGTAACCTGGCCAAAGTCCCAGGTGAGGAGGATTATATGGAGTCTTCCCATTTCCTTACTTCCCACCCAACATTCTGCAGCCTTACCTATTCTTAACCTTGAGACCAGCCCAGTTGGGCCTGAATCTGTGGAGTAAGCTGAACTTATCCCCTCAGCAGCATTCAGAGAGGAGAGAGAAAAGTCGGCCCTGAAAGCCATCCCAGGAAGCCAGACGCTACAGTGGTCAGCCTGTCGCAGAGTGCAGATGCAGGAAGGAATACTGACCAGATTGGCATTTGTCCCTGTCTATGGGGCAAGAGATGGCTGTGAAAGGGGAACGGAATTCCCTTCCCTCATGACTATCCAACGTTTCTAAAATTGATGGAGTTGTTTTGTGCCTAGATTCCCAGGTGAAAATCAATAATCTCTCAGGAGTGAGGTGCCAGACAGGTCGTTCCGAGAAAAACTATGATATAACCTCCTCAGAGAATTGAAGCCGACTGCTCAGCCTTTCTTCATAAGGCAAAATGAGACCTGGAAATGGGAGAGACTACTGAGAGTAAGCCCGACAAAGGAAGAGTCCCCACCATGAGCAATACAGAACTATGTAACCAAGATCTTCAAATAAATACTTCGAAAATAATATTAGTGATCTGCAGCTCTTAAGAACACACCCTGTAGCCGGCCGGGCGCAGCGGCAGTAATCCCAGCACTTTCGGAGGCTGAGGCGGGCAGATCACAAGGTCAGGAGTTCGAGACCAACCTGGCTAACATGGTGAAACCCTGTCTCTAATAAAAACACAAAAATTAGCTGGGTATGGCGGTACATACCTGTAATCTCAGCTACTCAGGAGGCTGAGGCAAGAGAATTGCTTGAACCCAGGAGGCAGAGGTTGCAGTGAGCCCAGATCGTGACATTGCATTCCAGCCTGGGCAACAGAGTGAGACTCCATTAAAAAAAAAAAAAAAATACTCTGCAGCTAAGGATGTTAAAGGTATAAATTACTGGGGTTTGTCTTTTTATTTGCACCTTTCCTCCAACTCCATCTCCCTTCAAAAGTTTTCCTTTAATGAGAAGAGGAATATGAAACATAAAAAGAGAACTACAAACCTTTTTCCTTTAAGTACTGTGTTGTGCTGAGTTCTGATCTCACATATATGCTTTCCCTTCAGCTCTGCAGACATATTTTCCAGCGTTCAATTCACATCAAGGATGAGTATGCACTGACGGAAAAGGTCATATGCAATACACCTGTACACACTTAAGAGGATTGCTCCAAATGTAGTTGATGGCAATCTAATAAGAGAGGGTACTGAAGACAAATGAGATGCATTTGCCTGTTTCCCTAATGCTTAACAAGCAAAGGCAAGGTGAAGCAGCAGCAGGAAGAAGGCCACAGAGCAGAAAGCTCTTTAAATAGCTTTCCAGGTGACCCTGCCACACTGGCACTGGTGGATTAAAAAGGATAACTGGGACATGGACATGAGCATTGTGAAGGGAGACAGGCTGGGAATCTGTTAGCCCTGATGGCCCCATGCATGCCTCTCCCACCACAACTGACTCTACACTAGATAAGTCTATTATGGCAAAAGGCTTCTCTTGTTTCAAGGTCGACGTGTATGAGCATTTCTTTCTCCTCACTGGAAATCAACAGTACCTAGCCTTCTGATTTGAAGAAACCAACTGCAAAAAGAAAGGTAGAAGGCAATGGGGGGAATCTGCCTGGGCATTTGATAGTAAGGAATTATTGTTAATACTTTACATGTAATAGTGTTCCTGTAGTTATGTTAAAAATAAAGAGATACAGAGGCCAGGCGCGGTGGCTCAAGCCTGTAATCCCAGCACTTTGGGAGGCCGAGGCAGGTGGATCACGAGGTCAAGAGATCAAGACCATCCTGGTCAACATGGTGAAACCCCGTCTCTACTAAAAATACAAAAAATTAGCTGGGCATGGTGGCGCGTGCCTGTAATCCCAGCTACTCAGGAGGCTGAGGCAGAAGAATTGCCTGAACCCAGGAGGTGGAGGTTGCTGTGAGCCGAGATCGCGCCATTGCACTCCAGCCTGGGTAACAAGAGTGAAACTCCGTCTCAAAAAAAAATAAATAAATAAAGAGATACATATTGAAATCTGTGGGTCAAAAGATATGAGATGTTAAGATTTCGCATTAAAATAGTCTAGTGAGGTTGGGGAGAAAGGTAAGGAGAGTGTGCAAAAAATAAGACTGGCCATTTGCTGACGATCATGGTTAAAACTGGTTGATAAGCACATTTTGTTATTCTTTCTACTTTGCCGTATGTTTGAAATTTTATATAATAAGTTTTCTAAAAGAGCACCTACGAATCAAGGGGGGAGAGAAAAAGCAAGTGTCTGCCTAGGGCTTTTCTGAGGGGGTTATTTTTTTCCTTTCTCAGCTTACCATTGCCCAGAAGATATCACAGATCATTCAATGTGAGCACCAAGAAGAAAGGATACATCCATCCATCCTATTTTTCCCTAAGACTACAATCTTGGCCTCTATCTCTGTCTGCCTCCAGAGACAGATTTAGCTTTTGATTACCTCCAACAAACAACATCCTTTAGGATATTGAAGCTGACAAGAGACGGCCTACAAAATCCTACGGTTTACATTAAAAGTCTGAAGACATTGCCATGTTCCAGATCTGGGGGTTAACAGTGCATGACGAAGCACATACCCTCGGTAAGAATTTAATTTAGCTCGAATATGAAGGGATGCCTTATGAGACAAACTGGCAGCAGTTCCACAGGGTGAGCAGAGAAGTGGGTCTATAAAACAGAAGACAACTTGCAACTTCTAAGTTGCTCCCTTCACAAACTGTAGTGGATGTCTTCAAATCATCTCGTATATCCTTTTACCCAGTCATCTCAATTCTAGGAATGTATTCCAACAAAATAACTGGGCAAGTCCATGAGGAGGTGTATGGACGAATGTTTATATCAAGACTTTGTTTATAATAGGGAAAATAAAAGCCCGAAACCTAAAGGTCTGTTAGTAGGAAATAAAGTATTGATTAGGCATATAATGAAATTATATGCAACTTTTAAAAGGCTGAAAATATATAGTACACTAGACTTCAGACATCAGCATTTAGTTTAGTAAGTATACTATATTATTAAGTAAAACAGAGTTTTAAAATAGATTTTGTTTTAAAACAAAGTGTTGTAAGAATAGAAAAGAACTGGAATATACCATAAAATGTTAATTGTGGTATTTTCTGGTTAGTAAAATTAAATGTAATTTTTACCTTCTTTATGATTTTTGCCATGGTCTAAATTTTTTTCACTGTGCAGGCAACATATTGGGACCCCCACATACACAAAAAGAAACTATTTAAAGACAATAATAACAAAACCATAAAGATGTCTAAAGGAGAAAAGGCAAATTGCCAGAGCTGGACAGAGGTCAAAGTGACAATCTAAGCAAATAACCTTTAACTCTGACAGCCAAGGAGGGTCAGCATCCTTTCCTTTCTCTCAAAAGACATCTTATACTGAGGAACTACTCTGTTCCAGGCCTTGGAGATGGAAATAAATGGGACACAATTTCCTGCCCTCAAAGCTTTCAGCCTAATTGGAGGAAAGGACAGATTTACTAAATAAATGAAATGCACTACTGGGGAAGAGCAAAGTACAGTCATGCTTAAGGGGAAGAGGCTGATTCCACCAGGCTGGAAGGAGGGGGAGAAAGGGGCTGATCAGAAAAAGTCTCCCTGGAAGTATTGTAGGCTGAGAGTCTAAAGGTGAGTGGATGTTTTTCCAAAGCTCACAGGCCATGCAGGTGAGGGTGGTCACCCCTGGTATGTGGGTTGATGTGAGCAGCTGAGGGGAAAGGGATGGGGATTGAGCAGCCTAATCTTTTTGAGGGGGAACAGAAGCACAGATCAAATATATGGTGAGGGGTAAGGCTAGAAAGTAGGCAGGCCCGCAGTATGGTGGCCTTGGAATGCCCCACTGAAGCATCTGGTTTCCAACCTGAGGGCACAGAGGTAACTCTGATGGGTCTGCACCTTCCCAAGGTTAGTAAATCGGACAACAATGCAGAGAATGAACCACTACTGGGCCTTAACTGGATGCCTGACGTGGACTAGCCACTGGGCTTAGCACACAACAGCCCTGGACAGTGGAGAGTGCTATCTCTATTTTACAGGTGAGGAAACTGGCACTCAGTGTGGTTTAGGGATTTGCCCAAGTTCTCACAGCTAAGAAGTGGCAGAGCTCAGAGTTCATCCTAGGCTATCTGACTCACGCCCATGTTCCATGCCAGGAAGACACAACGATGAATCTAAAATTGTTTTCTCGTGAGTTCTCTATGATATTTACAAATGACCTCAAACTCAACGACTCAATTCCTACTAAAAGGAGCTTGGTTGACCTGCAGCAAAGGGATTACGGGGAGAACCTTCTCAGCCACAAAATTAGAACTTTATGAAAAACACCTGGGAAAAAGTAACATGAAACTGGATCTGTCAAGGGGCTTTATTTTTTTCAACTCAAGAGAAACCATTAGGGAGTAGCCAATTTGTTTTTGCTTTTTTAATAAGTAGACACAGGTGAGAAACCTGAGGTAAGGAAGGACTAAAGGGAAATCAAAGGTGCGGGGAGGTTTCCAACTGTGAAGCGGAGGAAGAGCTGAGAATGGAAAACATTATTAAATAGGGGAGTCCGGCCAGACAAGCTCAAGTGGGAGCAGAGGGGAGTCTCCAGTGCTACACAAGTAATTTACGGAAATGCAGAAATTGGCATTTATGGAGTCTTGATTTCAGGCAGGGAAGGGGGAAAAAAGAAATCTTCAGTCAAGATACATTTACTAAGCAACTATACAACTACAGTAAAGGTGACAAAAATTCCAATTAAAAAAAAAGCTACATGGGAAGGATATATACACACACGCACACACACACACATCTTATGCATGATCACAAAGGAATGGCTAACATAGTCTAGAACTAAATGAAACATGCGCTTTGCCTTCAAGGATGTTTAGATATACCAAAATAAGATGAAAACATTGGCTACTCCAACCAGGAGAATGGGGTGAACAAATGCCTAAGAAATGGTAATACAAGAAAGGTTTTCAAGGAACAGCCAGAATAGGGCAGTAATTTGGGGGGGGAAAGCTAATGTTGATATGAGGAAAGTCACAAGAGAAGAGAAGGCAATTAGCATCTTTTGAGCATTTTCTCTGTGCCAGACACTGTCTCACCACTTCATTTCATTTCATCCAAATGATCCTGTGAGATAAGTAATTATTATCTGAACTTTCAATATGAGAAAATCCATGCCCTGGAAAGCTAAGCAACTTGGGGGGGGAAAAAAAGCTAGCTAGTGAATCTACACTTTGTTTTGTCTCATTTTTCCTGCTCCCTCTCCCCACCCCATTCACGGACTGTGTGCCCACTGTGAATAGTGAGTGGCCTCAGTTACATATGCCAGATTACAGCTCTCTGCGGTGTTCACTCGGTCTATGATTTCACAGGGTACATGTGAAGGAAATCACGAATCCATTTCAGGTGATATCAACATCGCTGACTTTAGAGCACTGGAATGAAGCACTGATACACTCTGACACTACTAGACTAGAACGCACTTAGACCAAGTGACTAAATAAACTTATTTTTGTTTAAAATTCTGCTTTTAGATGGAAATGAAAAATGGTACAACCACTTTGGAAAACAGTTTGGCAGTTTCTTATAGAGTGAAATATATAGCTACTTTACAACCCAGTAATCCCATTCCTAGATATTTACCCAAGAGAAATAAAAATTCATACACAGAACCTATATGCAAAGATTCACAGCAGCTTTGTTCATAATCATACCAAACTGGAAGCAGTCCAAATGTCCCTCAGCAGTTGAATAGATAAATAAACTATGGTATATCTGTACAATAGACCACTACTAAGCGAACAAAGAGATGAATTAGTGATACACACACATAAATAAATCTCAAATAATTTTTAACTGCAAAAACCAAGACTCAAAAAGATAATGTATAATTCTATTTTATGACAATCTGTAAAAGGCAAAATTATAGACAGGAAGACAGATAAGTGCTTGCCAGAGAAGCATAAGGGCTCTTATTTTATTTATTTATTTTTCGGAGTGATAAAACTGTTTTTAATCTTGATAATGGTGGTGTGTGGTAAGCAGAATAACAGCCCCAAAAAGACATCCATACCCTAATGCCTGGAATTTGTGAATAAATTAATGTTACATGGTAAATGGAATTTTACAAATGTAATTTCAGATACAATTAAGGTTGCTCATCATATGACCTTAAAGGAGGAAGATTATCTCAGATTATTCGGATGGGGAACTCATGTGTAACCACATGGGCCTCCAAAAGTGGAAGGAGGAAGAAGAGTCAGAAACATGCATGCCTGAAAAAGGGGGCCTCGACCCACTGCTGCTGGCTTTGACGATGGAGGAAGGGGGGCAAATAGCTATGACCCAAGAGTAGCCTCTAGAAGCTGAGAACACACCCCAGGTATAGTCAGCAAGGAAGTGGGTCCCTCAGTCCTACAACCACAAGAAACTGAAATGTGCCACCCATTTGGTGAGCAGAGAAATAAATCCTTCCCTAGACCCTCCAGAAAAGAGCATGGCCCTGCCAATATCTTGATTGTGGCTTTATGTGACTCCTCTAAACACTCAGAGACATCAGCCCACCTACTGGATTTCTGACCTATAAAAACTGTGAAATAAAATAAATCTGTTGTTTCAAGCCTCTTATGTTTATAGTAACTTATTATGGCAGCAATTGAAAACTTATTAATACAAGATAG